GAGCGGGGGGGGGGGGGGGGGGGGTGCAGAGGGAGGGGAGAAAATTGAGATTCACAGAAGTAGAGCGAGGAGAGACAGAGGGAATGTAAAAAGGCTGAGGTCAACAGAGAGTACAAACTCCCGTGTTCCAATCAGAGAACTTGAAAAAAAAATAAAGAAAGAAAGAAAAACTCAGACGCAGCAGCAACAACGAGGAGGAGGGAGAAACTAATTGCTTGACAGATTGCAGCCATATGCACGGAGAAATTACTACGCTTCCCCATCTGAAGTAGACAAATTAACCAATAATTCCATGATCAATACATCATCACGTTAACATTTCTTTTTAAACACAATGAGACTAATAGAGTAAAAACGTTGATTTTTTTTTCTCCCCTAATGAAAACGTCATTCCGCTGCTCACCGAGTTTCCACTCATGCTCGCAATCTCCTTCAGTTTTTTGAACACGCCCCCTGCTGTCAGACTGGCCGGCTGGAACATCATGCGCTGGTTGCTACGGGAACTCTCGGCCACCAGACCCAAGTCTCCTTTCTCCTGAGCCTCGGCTTTGATTTTGTCCAACTGTCGCCCTGGAAACAAGAGCCGGGCGGTAAATAGAAACGGACGGAGGACGAGCAGAGGACGAGGACGACATCTGCATCTCAGTTTGGACAAAAGAAAAATACTGTCTAGGTCTGTGTGTGTGTGTGGGTGTGTGTGTGTGTGTGTAATACCAGTGGCCTGAGCGACGGCTTTCATCAGGACCGTCTCTCCGACACCGAGCTCCATCCCCATGTAGGCGGGACCGAGTTGGTTCAAACACAGGTACACGCAGCACAGCAGGTCGTCTGGAAGCAGGGCATGAATAAAAGATGTGAACACACACACACGGACACACACAGACACAAAATAACAGAAGCTAAAACACACAACAAAATAGAGCGACAAACAGCAAAAACAATGTTTCTCAAAAGGTGGGGCTGGGTCCAAAAAGTGGGTCACAGGGTTAAAGTGGACTGTACGTTGTATGTCACAAAACAGTGTATTTTTATATAATTTTTTATTTTATTTTTTTTACTTCAGATGTTTAGCATCATTTGAAACATTAGCATGTAGCAACGGTTAGCGACTAGCTGTCAGTTCAAATTGTTTCCTGATGCATTTCACGGACAAAGGCCATTTTTTCAAGACTTAAAAAAAAAAAAAAAAAAACAGAATGTTCCAGGCTGGACCAGTCCTTGAATCCCAGGTCTGTGATTATTTCACTTTTTCAACACTTTACTTTTTCGTCCGTTTGTCCATGATGGAGATTTTTCCCATGAATCTCTGCTGGTACAGAACCAGCCAAACAAAGAATGAAACACCAACCATGTGTTTGTTTGTAGAATAGATGGAAAACAACTGAGGCTCAGATACAAAAAAAAATAGATCACACATCAACAGAAATATCAAACTCCACACACGGAGAGAGCGGAATGAAGTGACTCATCCTCCCACTTTTATGAGCGACCTGGATTCATCACGGCCTCCTTGATGGAGTGGCTGGCGGCCAGCGGCCTGTGTAGCTACATCAGCATGCATTATGGGAGAGATAAAACACCACTTTACCTGGAGAGAGCAGCAGCACGGAGCGGAGCAGGTTCGACAGCGTCTCGATGTTCCTCAGTCTGGAGGAGGAGGAGGAGGGAAAAAAAAAAAAACCCAGGGCAGGGATTAAGTGGAGGAAGGAAGAAGAAGGATATAAATGAATTTTAAAGCCATTTGGTAAATACTGGGAGGCAGCAAATGAGATTTGTCTGGCTGGCTGGAGGTGTTTCTTCTTCTTTTTTTTAATCACAAAAGGAGAAGTTCAGGCGGGAGATGAACTGTTCATCACTTTAAGCAGGTGGAGAAAAAAGAAAATACAGTGGAGTCGTTTTAATATCTCCTGGAGTTTAAAAAAAAAACACAAAAAAAAAAACCCTGCAGGATGTGTTGTCACCATCTTTTATTTATTTACCTCCAGGGTTTAAAAATAAGTCAACCGTCAAGGAAGAGAAGGAAATATGAAATATAAAACTCAAGACAATTGGATTTCAACTCTCTCTGAAAACGACCCAGTTTTTTTCCCCGACTTTTCTGACTTCCTCTAATCATCCTTCATTTGAATTCCCAACAAAACGCCACAGGCAGCAACTTGAAAAAAATAAAAAATAAAAAAGAAATCACAATATATGTGAAATTAAAGGAAAATTATTATATATTTTTATATATTTATTATAGATAAATATTTTGGTTCCTTGATCTCAGCTGGATTCATCAACAGTTTAACTGCACCTTTAACTTTTAAAGATAATGTGCTCCGCCCACATCTTCCACTAGGGGTAGACGTAGAGACGGGTCAGATAACCATGGCAACCGCAGAGCAGCGACAGCGCATTTAGCGAACAGCGGTGATTAGATTTTGGGTTGGACACGACAGAGGTCAAAGGTCATGTAGGATTTTTTTTTTTTAGACACTGTATCGACAAGCGGAGGCTAGCTTTGAATAAGTTGTCCTCCAGGTGGAGCTCTTACCTCCCAGAGTCCTCCTCGATCTTCTCAAAGGTCCGAGCCACGGCCAGGTACGGTACCCTGGAGAGGAACAGAAGGTCAGAAGGTCAGGGGGTCAGAAGGTCAGGGGGTCAATCAGAAGTGACGATGAGGAGGTGAAGGGTCAGAGGTCGGTGAGGATTAATTATCCATCAGCCGACTGTCATTAAAGATTAACTTGTCATAATTATGCTGTGAACCTTATCAAAATTTGAAGATTATTTTTCCCCCCAACTCCCCCTGGTGGACATCATGAAAAGAGACATGGATGAAACATTAATATCTGTGTTTGGACCTGGCCCAGAGAGAATGATGGGAGTTTTTTTTTAAATACTTTTATGATTCGTCAGCTTCATAATCAGACCATGAAAAAAGTGTCTCTTGGTTTAACCAGTATTTGTTGTACATTGTAAAAAATGTTACTTTTAGTTATAAAGTAAAATCATCCTGACCCAGGCCGGGGCCTCCGACCAGAGGTTGAAGCACCCACAAACACATACAGGCAGTTGGTGGATCGATGGACTTACTTTTGCCCTTGTTTCCAGCAGGCGTGGTCGACGGGGTGATAGTTGGGTCTGGACGGATCGTACTCTGTCTGTCCTGAAGTTGACTCACTGGGGGAGGGAGGGGGGAGGGAGGAGAGGGGAGAGAGGGGGGAGGAGAGAAGACAGCTCAGCACCATGATAATGAGAGTCAGTGAAACGCCACCTCCCAGTGAAAACACACAGAACTGCAGCGGGGCAACAGGGCAGTTGTGATGTTGTCTCATCAGCAACATTAACTGTACGTTTCATTAGCATTAACGACCCCCCCTCCCTCACCCCCTCCCTCACCCTCTCCCTCACCCTCTCCCCCGAGCATTTCACTCTCTTTTTTTCAAACCCAATTGTTTCTCCTCAAACAAAGGACAAAGAAGTCAGTCGGAGGAGCTGCAACTTTTTTCTTTTTTTTACCGCCCATCCTTTTCCACACTGTCGCACACAAGGCAGTGATAAAATAATAAGTAGTTAGAGCCAGGATGAAAAATGTGTTTCCTCGCTTCTGTGGCTAAAAAAAGAGTTTCTAGAGAATCAACAAGTTGGTTTGTGGATCCAGTGACCTCAAAACGACAAAGAAATAAGATATTAATGCTGCTGCGGCTGCTGCTTTACTCACTTTGTCACCGTCACGGATAAACATCGTAATTAACTAAAAACTGAAACGTGATAAACATATGAGTCGTGTTGGTTTTTGTCAAAAAGGCGTTCACTTAGCGCTGTGGGACAGAATGAATGAGCAGAGCGTTGTCTGTGAGCAGGCGCGAAGGCATTAAAAGCCGCCTCAAGTGGAATAGTTCGTCGGACCAAGACTGTTTTTTTTAACGTTGTTTCCAACTGTCAGTGCAGACGAGGCGTCCGTCGTCATGACGACACAGGATGATTAATAAAGACATTAAGAAAGTGTCCTCCAGAGGTCAGGGAGGTCAGGAGAAGACCAGTGTCCAGAGTCCACAAGGAGCAGTGAATTATTCAGTGCAGC